GTGTTAAAAAAGTCTACTTTATGCTCCTAAGGATTATTTTTCAGTCAGAATTTTTTTTTACATCTATTTCAGAGCTTTCAAAATTTATGTTTTAAAATTTAGCACATTGTATTAATAAATCAGAACTCTGTGGAAACAAATTGTGAGACATAGTTATACGTCAAAAAGATAAATCAGAACTTAATGGCCAGGATAGAAGATATTTTCTAATCAGACAGCTAGAGAACTAATTAATGTTATCATTTGTAAACCAACCAAAGGAATACAGCCATGTTCTTAGTTGGAATGCATAAATCTGATGGCAGAGTTAACACTTATCATTTGGATCATTTTGTCTGATGTTTATAAATCAGTCTGTTAAATAAGATTTGAGCGAGATCTATAAATTAACACATGAAATTAAAAGTGTGTGGTTTCTGTTGATAAATAAGGACTTACAAGCGTTGGAGGTAACCAAACAGACAACAAATTCACATTCCTTGATTAGATGATGGTTAACCGTTATAAATCAAAGCTGTAAATAACGTTTATCTCCTCAGATGTTCATGTTTCAGAAAGCCCATTTTAAAGAAAAAGAGAAAAGCTGTGAATCTAAATTCACTCTCCTCTTTAGCATACAAATAGACTGTGTAGTAAAGGCTGAGAGGAGCATGAGTAGATTCTCCTATTTGAACTGCCACAATACTAGCTTTTGTTCTGCTTTGTTTCTAAGCTTTTGCGGCAAGTGATATACTGGTATATCACTTGCTATAAGACTGTGGTTTGTACTATTAAGCATATCTGCAAATCAGAGAATGACTGTTTTTCCCCCAGAATGAACACGACCTGACAAGTCGGAAGAGTATCAGACTTCCCTCTGTGGATTTTCATCCTCCCCCTCTCCTGCCCCGACTGCCTGTGCAAACAATGGGAAGCTGAATACATTTCATGCCAGAAGGCAGCAGGTTACTAAAATACCCATGACATATTTATGCAAGAAACATGCTGTATAACATATGGGCCTTGGGAGCCTTCCCCACCTTCTGTCTGTGTGCATTTTTCTAACTGTGAGAAGGCCTGATGAAGAGATTTACTTCATCAGGAAAATGAATTTTAAGGCAGAATAAGAGAACAAAGCTATCAAAATAGCTTTGTAGCTGTAGACACAAGCCTGAACTTCACTTTACTAGTTCTAGTGAAATAATTCTTGCAAACTTTAAGTCAGATGCCTAAGCATCATCCTGGGTTAACAGGTGGAGAAACCTGAGCTGCAAGGAGCCT